TCGCAAATTTTGCTGAGGCCAAGTCGGCGTATGGGCGTCTATACCCATAGGCAGTCGCCAGGATGGTATTCGACGAAGGGTCGTCGAAGGTCGTAGCTACAGATTTCGGTTTTTCGCTGCATTGGATGCGCAGAAAAACAAATTTTCCAGCTTCTTCGGCGCGCTCCAGGTATGCTGTGACGGTGATGTTTCCTTTGTCAGCGACGTTAGGCAGCATTGCGTAGAGGAACGCATTGCGCAGCGCTGCGTTCCTTCCGTAGACCGACTTGTATCGTGGCATCTGCGTCGTTTGTTCGACAGTCGTCTTAGATGCAAAGATCACGTATGGATGACTGGCGTCCCACGTCTTCTCTTCAACGTCAACTAAATGGCCAACGCGTTGGCGATAGTCTTAGTAAGGCGCTCGGTGAGACCACTGGTCGCTAGGTGGTAGACAATGGGGAGGCATTGGCTTGTCTGGCTATATGCCGGGACCACCTCACTTGACTCCGCAGAGAAGACCACACCTGTGTCAGTGATGAGGACCTCTGGGGCTCCCAGGGCAATGTATTCAACGAAACAACATCGCTACCTTGGCAGCCCTGCCTTTTGGTAGGGCCCTAGTTTCACGTAGTGAGTGAGGTAGTCGGTGGTGACAACGATCAATTTATTCCCCCAAGTCGATGTAGGAAACGGTCCCAGTAAGTCCTATTGGCTTGCTGGATTGGTCATTGAGGTGGTTCGATTTACTGAAGGAAGCCTGCTGGTCTTGTCTTGTCTGTGGTGTATTGCGTCACTGTCAGTCCCGGAATCTTTTCACGCAACGAGACACAGAGAGGTTGGGGGTAGGAAAAGACACGACCTATGCAACCGTATTTGGGAGCACGGCTCAGCGGTGTTGGCGTGAAGGCCTGTAGTCCTCTTGTATCCTCGCGAGCGATGCGGAAATACCGAGGTGCCTAGCCGTTGGGTTGTCGTGCAGGGCCTGCAGAATTTATGTTCACATTGCCGAAGGTACAATGCTAAGGCAGCTGGCTCAGGCCGGAGAGAAGTTCTCCTTAACGAGTAGGTTGTTCTTCAAGAAAATGATGCCCGTTTTCGCCTAAATGTTTCAGGGATGGTGATGGTACCACCATCAAGGTATTCCTCTAGGCCCCTCAGTTCCGCGTTGGCTCACTGTCCGTCGGTGAAGTCATCGGCATCGATGGTTCCAAAGAAACACTTATGCTTGTTGTCCTGCGGTGGTGGATCAACGGGAGCGTGAGAGAGGCAGTTCGCGTCGGAGTATAATATCCTCCGTCCTTGTGCACGACAGTAATAAAAAATTCGAAAATTCTTGAATAATTAAGCTACACCGCACGAGGAGACATGAAAGGCTCTTCAGGTTATAACACAGAAAAGGCATGGTGCTCAATCGGAACTTTGAATGGCATGCCTTAGAAGTAAGCAGGAAATTTTGACGCTGTGTAGATGATGATGGCATGGCACTTCTTTTCAGTTGAGGAATAGTTGGCCACAGCTTTGGATAGTGACCGGCTAGCAGAACTGATAATCCTTTCCAGGCCGACAGTCTTTTGCACAAGGACTGCACCGAGTCCCACGTGGCTTGCGTCGGTGTGCCCTTCTGTTTCGGTGTATTCCTTGAAATGCGCAAGTATCGCCGGTTTCCCCATGCGTCGTTAAGGTTCCTAAAATTCTTCCTGTTGTGCCACCACCCACAATAAATCCATATATTTCCTGGGCCATTTTTTCCCCGCCATGGTGGTCTAGTGGCTAAGTTACTCGGCTGCTCACCCGCATGGCGCGGGATTGAATTCCGGCTGCGGTGGCTGCATTTCTGATGGAGGCGGAAATAATGTAGGCCCGTGTGCTTAGATTTCGGTGCACGTTAAAGAACCCCAGGTGGTCAAAATTTCCGGAGCCCTCCACTACGGCGTCTCTCATAATCATATGGTGGTATTGGGATGTTGAACCCCACAAATCAAATCCATCAATTCCTGGGCCTTTTTGTGCAGGAAAATACGTGGGGATTTTTGGCAATGTATGCGAAAAAAATGCCAGCAATAGTGAATTTCCGGGCCTCAGAAAGGGAGTTCTTCAGTCCAGGGCGAAAAATCACTGCCCTTCGCCGCAGATGTGGCGGTGCCAATTAGGTCACGCCTTCACTTGCAGTGCGCCATGACGTTACTCTCTCCCTCGCCCGCCACGCGCTCGTGGCGTGTGACCTCTTTCTCTCTACTGCCTCTTTTCCGCTCGCAATGTTCGAGCGCACATCGAGTGAACACTCTTTCGGCTCGTTTATCTGCTATGAAGAGGACGCCGGAAAGTGAAGCTCCTTAGCCCACCGAAAGATGCGCCGAAGCTATATGCTTTGACCCTGCCATCACCGGCATTGCGATGGTTAGCAGGGACGATCGCGTTCGCGAATGGGGACGTCGCGCCTTCATCACCGACGAGGCGCGAGCCAGAAAAGCCGTATGCAAGCGTCAGCAGTGCAAGACCAACCACACCGAAGAGGTGCCAGTTTAGCACGCTGATCACGTGCGAGAATGGAGACGGCGCGCGATAAATACAGACGAGACACGAGCTAAGGAAGCTGAGCGCAAACGTCTTCAACGCGTCGCAACACTGACGAGATGCGATCCAGGGCAGCCGAGCGGAAGCGCCGACCGTGGAAGCGCCGACAGCGGAAGGCTAATGCTGTCGAATCCTCGACGTTGCCGTCGTTGACGTCTCGAAGTCCCCGCGCGCCCTCTGCCACCCGTAAGCACCGGGCTCCACTGCCATATCCGAAGGCGACCTGGAAGAAACATCCGAGACCTCTTGAAGACGCTCCTGCTCCGAGTGCGTTGCCGCGCACGTCGGCGACGTTGCGATCCCCACACTGTTCCTCGCTCCCAACCTGCCAAAGGAACAGGTCTGGAGGAGATGCTGGTTGCGGCAAAGCATGTCGACGCGTGCCTTTTATAGTCGCGGGAGACTTCAACGTTGACGTCAGCGGAGCACGAGGATAATGACTCGTCGATCCCATGCGTGGCCTGCACTCGCTGAAGCGCGTGTTGCCGGAACGGAAACTACTCACCACGATAAGGGGAACGTTCATCGATCTCGCCTTGCCAACTTCGCAACGAACGTCTGCATAAACATGTCAGTGTTCACCTAACCGATCACGAAACCATGGTATTCAAGTTGAAACGTGCGCCAGCTCTAGTCCAGCGCCCATGTCAAATCTGAAGAAATGACAAGACCTACGCCAGCCATTGCTTAAACAAATCTTTCAGAGCTGACCACAGCACCCACGTAAGCTCCGTTTAACCCGTAATGCCACCCGTGCGCAACGCTGCTGTTTCGCATCTTGTCAGAGTTCCCTTTGGGAAGATGTCGCTAAAGTCTGAATAAATAGCAGCTGCCTATTTCTTGTGCTTCTAACATTGTTTATGTTGTAGAGCCCTGGCGAACGAGACAGCGAGTGTTGTTTTGTAACAACGTTGTGTTTATTTCTGTCTTAACCAGAAAGCAAACCGAGCTGGTGAAATAATAGCATTGAAAGTGACAAGAGAATAAGAGGCGAATGGAAAGCGGAGAGTAGGACAGTATATTTACCGCACCTGAAGCGAAATAGAATCAAATGAAAAGGGGGTGAGAATAAGCGGACAGACAAGTTTATTGATGCGTGTGGATAGAGGGGAGAGGAACTACCGTAGTAGGCCATACAAGAGAGCTCGCGGCTCCACACCGAACATGCACCTGCGTCTCAGGGACGTTCTGCTTATGACCCTAGTGGTAGTGGACCATCGTGGTCGCGCTACTACAGTTTTACCTTGATGCCTTATTAAAGGTGAGGCTAGTGAAGCTGTGTAGAGACCACACTTTTTCTACAATCCCCCTATCTGTATTTCACAAGGGTGCCATATAAACGTTTTATATTTATAATATGAATGATGTTCCTTGCAAACGGAAGCGTCCATGCTCAACAGAGGTGGCCCCTCTTTATGGGCAATGGCGTATCAAGTTATTATCAATTCAATAGCAATTATATGGACATTCTCGGCTAGGCTTCACCGTCAGCATCGGCGTTTACGAACGCCTTCATTTACCGTATATGTATTCGTATATACATATGTGAAAACGCAAGAAAGAAATAAATATTGCAGAAAAAGACTCCGGCGCACTGAATCGAAAGTCTGACCTCTTGCTTGTGAGTGCGTGGCGTTAGCCACTCAGCCTGTGAGCAGCCTGCCTTTTACGTTGAAACGGCAAGCTATTTATATATACTCCTTACCGCTGGTGGCGACGATCTCGGGGGAACTACTGTGTTTTCAGCATAACCAGCGAGATGGCGCAATGAGCGTGCGGTGCCAAATTGTCATGACGCGGTGACGCGTACTGATGCGTTCATCTCCCACGTGTACTTAGCACCGCAGAGCGGGGAGGGGGTAGTCACTCACGCGAGCGAGTGCTTACCTTGCCGAGGCGAGAATGGGACGCCTTGATTTTTCATCGAAACGCTGTTGCAGTTACCCGGCGTACAAAGGTAACTGCAATGGCTGCGCACTCTGTGTTTCCGAAAAGGACGCACTTTTCAGACACAGCAAAGTGAGACACCTAATCGCGTTGAACTGTGCCTGTGATCACGCTTCGTGCGTCATTTGTGCGTGATCAGCACGGGGCAAGTTTTGATTTGCTTGCCATTCTTCGCGTGGCATTACAATTTGTTGCTATCACAATTATTGCTTCGTCTTTGTGGCAAAGCTGTGACTTTTTGAGTGATTGAGAAATATTAGGCTTGTGTCTGAAAGGAGTTTCAACTAATAAAAAACATTGCTTTGTCTTACTGAAGAAACACGTTCCATATCTGGTTTAAACGATAAAGATTGTGACAGGCTGTCAAAACACTGTGTTAAGTAGTGTACATTAACTGCAACATCTTCTGCTCGTAAACGGGGGTTTTCTAAATTTCTAACTTACTGGAGTGTAAAAAGAAAGGTAACCTTGTGGTTTTTGTGCAAATGTCACTTCAGGTTGACTGTCAACGGGATTTGGAAAACCCCATCCTGAAACGGCTCAAGAAAATATTCCTGGAAGTGGACGAAGGGGTGATGGCAGCCGCCATGGCCATTCCTATTCTCCGAAGGTTTTTCGCTTGGATATTCCCAATGTTGAGCTACGGTAAGCTGTTCCTCCTGATAAACGACAACCTCCGGGAGGTTATCAATGCTCGTGCCGCAAAGCTGGACGGGACGACGACAGCCGACGTTGTTCAGTTGATGCTGGAGGCAAAAGCGGAGGCCGTTCGTAGGAAAAACGGTGCGGAAATAGAAATTATGGAAAAGCACCTGCTGGCGAATTGTTTCGTGTTCCTAGCCGCTGGATTCGAGACGACGGCCACGACGCTCGCCTTCATTCTCTATGAGCTCTCCCGCCACCCCGAAGAGCAGGACAAGCTATTCGTGGAGATAAAGTCCCAGCTAACGCACCACAATGAACTGGTCGATTACGACAGCGTGCAGAAGCTCAAGCGAATGGACATGGTGATCAGCGAGTGTCTGCGGCTCTACCCACCGCTCGTCCTCTTCACGACCAGAGTTTGCGACAAGGACACCACGCTCGCGGGCTTCACCGTTCCTGCGGGAGTGCACATTGTTCTGCCAACCTGGCACGTTCACCACAATCCGGATGTGTGGCCCGACGCACATCGGTTCATTCCGGATCGATTTCTCTCGGACATGGCGCATGCAGACAAGAGGAACCTGGCGGCATTTGTGGCATTCGGCTTGGGACCTCGCGAGTGCATAGGGCGTCGCTTTGCGCTGCTTGAATTGAAGACGGTGCTTGCCAAGCTGCTGTCGACGTACGTGTTCAGCGTGTGCGACGAAACTGACCACCCCATGCAATTCATTGTTCCGTCGGTTACAGTGAGTCCGGCTCGTAACATAATGCTTCAAGTCAAGTGGAGGAACACCCAAGACCTCTTAGGCTGACTTGTTCACTATGCTTTCCAGCAGTACACAGTAGTGAGGTGTGGTGTTCTCCTGAACATATCTGAACTTCGGCCGCGACGGCCTTGTTCGATGTAGGTGGCGACGTGGGAACGCTTACGTGCGTTGCAATATATTCAAGAGTCCTCCGCTCATCCTAGGCATTTGATTATGACGCCTCGCCCACTTTTTGTTAGCCCTTTGATGCGTTATCAGGCGTGTGATTTGTCTATATGCAGCTTTGCGTACGCAAAAAAAAGCATCATAACCAGTTTTTCGTATCTACGTGGCACAGGCATGCAAGGGAGCTAAACGCGCGAATACATTTTCATTTATGTGAGGCTGTGGTTTATGTCAGAGCTATGTTATAGAGAAGGCTTACCTTGTAGAGGCACAAAAACGTGTAACTAATACTGAAAGTCACACTCACCACTTCATGCCATTCAGAAAACTTCATCGTTTGGCTTTGTAATGCACAATTGTCTTACGAATTTGAGACATCTTGGACATGAATGTACCATATCATGCTGATAACTTTAACAGACTTCTTGCAATAGTTTAATTTACAGGTAGTTCAGGCATGATTGACAATATTCGTCCTCATGTTTTTGCCTGTAGTCTTTTAGTTAGACCGTAGAGGGTGCCTAGCCAGCAAGGCGATGAAATCGAAACAGAATTATCGACACCGGCTCAAGCAGGATTGCCGCTGAGCAGATTTGAAAGGGTGCCAGAACTCAAGGTCAAAGTAGCCAAAGCAGCCAAGCCATTTATTTATTGGTCCAACTTGTAGCCAAATAGGAGAAAAGCTGTATCATCAAGATTTTTTTATTGAACAATGAGCCTCTTGCTTCTTGTTTCCTTTTCAAGTCGTAAGAATGTTCCAAATTACAGAACAAACTACGAATTCCGTGCATCTGCGTCTAGAATATATAGCATATATACAATAGTTGCTAGAGACAGAGTAGAATTTAAGTATTTTAGCTTACTGATCACTGGAAGCATCATTTTAGAGGCGCAAGTGTGATTCCTTGAGCTTGTATTGGCGCACCAGATTTTTTTAGTAGTTACCATAATAATATTATTTAATTGGCATCGCCAAAGCACAATGAGGCAATCAGAGACGCCGTAGTGGAGGGTTTCGAAAACTTCGACCATTTAAGTTGGCGGTTCCGCTTCCTCTTTCTTGTCAATAGTTCTGAAAAAGACACCAGATGACGCCACTCATCCACGTTTGCAAAAGCGAGAGAATTCCGCTCGTAAGTACGGTTAGCGTCGTCTCACGTGAGGTCACAAAAAACGGCTGACGAAAAGCAAGGAGCACAAACGCGGATGGTGTCTCTCACTCTCAATCAGCCAAGTGTTGCCGCCGTTTTAACGATATGACCAAAATTGCCCCAGTGACAGACAGCTGGCAGACTGAAACCGGGATCGTTTTGCTGAACTGTTAACACGCGCGTACACGCACATCCACAAACGCACACTCTCTCTGTCTCTCTCACTTACTCAAGTCTGTCGAACAACAATTGATCGTAATATGAACCAAACGCGTGACAGCGTTTGAGTGCCCTGGCATGGCCGCTAACCTTCTTTCTGATGTGGTGACCTTGGTACGGGCTTGATGTAGCGTCGCGTGAGCGCGTCCTTTTTTTTTTCCTTGGCATGTTTCTCGTCTTGGGAAAATTTTTGCAGTGATTAGCTCAGCTGTGCTAGGATATACGTAGCATGCGGTATGGACGGATGGACAGATGGATAGACGTACTAGTGAGTGAGCGATCTCACATGAAAGAAGAGCCAGCCTACTAGGGACAAGTCAATGCAGAGACTTCCAGGCCTTCGGCGCACCAACTGTGCGCTTTCTTACGAGACTGCTCCTTGTGTTTGCACAAAACTGCTTACCGTACTCTATGCGAAACTGCTGAGATTACGTTACAAAAACACTCAGGCACATTTGAGCACAAAATAGCTTGAGGATGCCGGGGCTGCTTGCTGAATTTCACCCTCTCCAACTACAATAAAAGGGTTACCTATATAAAGTGAATTTTACTGATGATTAGCTGAAAACATGACTTCCACAAATACATAGAAGTTGGAACCACCTGGAGCACATGGTTTTTCTAAAACTTTTTATCAGAATTACATAGGACACCTAGTATAAGTGATCACGTGGGATCATTCATAAGTTGGTTCACTCGGTTTCCCGTATTGTTTTCACCAGCTTTTTTTCTACTGCCTAAATTATGGTAAACTATACTCCCATAAAGTGTTTGCTTTAGGAAACTCTTTACTTTCGCCAACAGTTGATTCTAAATGCGACGTATTTGCACGGGCACACAGATCAGCAAGTAGGAGCACAATTTGACCCAGCATCGCACTTAGTGGGAGGAAGGGAAGGGGGTTATGTATATTTGTAAATAATAGGGGATTATGATGGCACCCAGATTGAGCGACACCTCAGAGCTAATTCCCATGTGTTTTACGGACGTCTTTTCCTATACTTCGTTTCATACATCAAATGCAACACTGTGAAGGCTAGCCAAACTTCTTGCAATGAATGCGTTTGCACTAAGAATTAGTGTGGTCACTTTTGCATCTGAGACATTATATATTATCCTCTTTGTGCTCCGCGCGTCGTAGATAAAAACACCTCGGTGTACGCATTCTCTTTGTTCTCATTTCTTTGTGTTTTATTGGTAGGCTTTCGCGACGCTGTGCAGTAGCGTTCGTGCTCGTCTCGCACGAGCGTTTACAACGATGAAAGTCAAGCGCGAGAAACGCTTGGTCATACATATTTCTGACCGAACTTCTTGCATAGCTTCCACGGCGTTGGACTTTATATACGAAACGGAGTGCCAGCATAGGCGTGCACATGAAGGAGGCAGGGCAGGCGACCCTGCCCCTCTAGTTTTCTTAGTGTCGGTGCGTGAAATCTGTCCCGTACTACAGTGCCTAAAATATTCTAGGCACTGTACCCATGTAATGAATTGATTGATTGGGATTAACAATTGCGATTAACTATTGACCCACCCCCCTTGAAGGAGAACCCTCCGCGCGTGTGTATCCGCCAGACGACACCGGCGATGCCAAGGTGGTCAATGACAGTTACGTAGCACCCTGTGGTCACCTAACGTTGCTTATAAAGTAAGATATATGGTCTAAACAAGCCGTGGCTGTTAAGGTATAGTTATTTTCTGAATCTCTTCATTGCATAGGTTATCGAGTTCGCGAATCGTAAAATGTGCACGCATTTTACCTTTTACATGCTATCCAAAGTTTATTTCTTCTCTCCTAGATCATTTGCCATCCAGTGCAAAAATAAAGTTACACTTGTATCGGTGGTTATCGAATATGCCATGAACACTCGCAAAAAACTCTAGTGCTGAATACGGATATTTTCTTTGGCTGCTCGACATGCGATCAGCTCGCCACCTTCCCTCATTTGATGTTGCGCTGCCCCCGCTTGCGCGTTTCAGCAAGCAAGCGTTACGTGAACAAAACAGGCGTCTTAGAACTTATCGCAAGTCCACAACTTGCCAAACAACTCTGGGCGGTCCAGGAAGCATGTGAAATGATGGGGAACCTGTGTTCCCAGACCCCGTTGCAGGTGCCGCCCTAGGTGGGTTGTACAGGAGGTCGTGGTTCCCAGGAACCTTTTCCTAGGACGCAAATGAAGTTCATCAGTCTGTCTGTCTGTGACTCGACAAAAAGGCCAAGCTGTTGTGTTATAATTATGCAAGTGTAATTGTAACGTACATAGATACGTGTGTCAACAAGAATACAATCTACTGAAAATCGGGTGTTGCAATATATATCTGTCTTTCATCTTACATCAGTTCTAAACGGTTTTGATGTGAATTAAGGCTTCATTGTAGAGTAGTGTGCTTGCAAAAACGACGTGACGTTTCAGGAGGGGGCGGATTGGTAAGTATATGAAGTTCTCTTGACGAGGAGGTTCCTTAAATAATGCTTTTCTTTCGATATTTTTTTCTAACAAGCACGATCACGCCGGCAATTCGAAAGAAACGTGAACGCTAAACGTTTCTGGAAGCGAAGCAGTTACAAAATTCAGAGTTGCTTTATGCTTGTCCTATAATAGCAGGAATACACCTACTTGTTCTGTAAAGTTGTGGCTTCCCTTTATTTTGACTTACAGGCACCATCGACAAGTTTGCCATTTAGGTTGCGGCGAAACTTCATCAAGACGGTCGTCAGTACTATAGCATATGTATGAGCACTATTTTTTGTTCATGTGACTATTCTCACGGGCGTCTAAGTCAGCTTATTCTTCATTGACCAGCTATTACATCACAAGCTTTGTACTAAGTGACAGACAGGTGTTAATCGGGCATTACTAGCAGTTCTGGCAACGCAGCAATCTGCTTTACGACATAGTAGCCGTAAGCAACAGCGTTATCGTTAGATAGAGGTGTCCTCCTCGGTCGAACTGCATCCCGACACCGTATACCACTCATGAGTGGCAGGGACAGTGATCGTCTAATTCGTAGTCAGGGCGTCCCTGAATTTAGGAATATTTAACTTTTCTAGGGTCCCGTACATTGCATATCCTGCCACTCTGACCACAACGTCCTGCATCCTCGACAAAGTCTCGCTTCCGTCACATCGTTGCAACTAGGGTGTAATTACCTGCTTGTGTACCGCTGACCAGTACTGGTCAGTGGAAGTTGTCGAAACGCTGTTCTACTGGCTTACTCTGAAGTTCTCGACAATAGACCTCCACCCGGGTACGTCACAGCGTGACGTCACTGGTGACCATGCAAGGCAGTGGTTGGCAAAACAGTTCCACCAGTAGCTGAGTGGGGTGCAGTTGCTCGGGGCTTAGGACAAGTCTGTTTTTTTTTGAAAGTTTAATCTTCATCTGACAGTGGCAACATTAGCTGTGGTATGTGCAAGAGAACATATAGGTGTGTGGTAAATTGCCTGATGAATTATTTACCGCGCTGGCTGGCTTTTTATCTCGGAGAAGTGAACACACGTGGCAGCCTGTGCGAGGAACAGAGGCATCGTCTTCGAAAATGTGCAGTGTCGGCTGTGGCATGTAGTGTGCGTTGAAAGGCATTGACAAAATTGGTTCCCCTTTAAGGGCGGTGAAACTGGGAATATTGTGTGTGGTGTGTGCAGTGTGAATAACGCGATGCGTCCTGTTTGCAAAAACACTGGTATTCGTTGTGGGCTGGTTGCAGTAAGTGGTGGTCAATAGAACTTTACAATCTGACATTTTATTCAAGGTAAAAATGAATTTCACGCGATCATAATGCGAGTGGGTACATCACAACGTATGCGCGGCGTGGAGGAAAGTCGAAGTGCATGATATTCGAGTGATATATACGACTACGCATGAGCTATAAACATGTTGTATTGTTTCCGAATCTGCATATAGGCTTCACCACGTCTATAACTTCTATTATCGGATACCTGATACGTGAAACAGGGGAGATTTTAGTTTCTTATATACTTTGTACTTTTACGGCTTGATCCTTATCAAGTGACAATGCGCATTAAACGTTTGTGTATCAGGTCTAAACAAGCAGTATAAGTACGAAAACTCGTTATAAGTGTCAAATGCAGCAAGGTATCTGTGCCAGATATTAATATATAATATTAAGTTGTACAGTTCTACTTCACATGAATTTTCACTGGGTTATTGAGAAATGCAGTGGCAGAAATTCACTTTAATTTTCACGAGAATATGTTAACCTCAGCCTAACGCATGGTAAGAAGTGTTTTTTTTCTTTTCATTCATAACCGATCAGACTTTTGCACAATGAGTGAGAATGGTATCCGTGAAGTTCCGCACAGCAGCTCAAAGCGATGCTGCCGCCAATGTTGTACCTTGTTTAAACCTGCGTTGCACATGCAACGATGGAAATTGAATAAGTTTACATCTATGCCATGCGAATATTTCTCAAAGTGCCAGTCACCATGTACATTTGAAAGCTTCGTTTTCGAAAAAGATCATACTTTTTTATTGCTGCTATCTACGTGGGTAAAGCCCACTGCGTGCTAGTCGCGCCTCTGAGTACTCCAAATAAAATTTCGCCATCCATCCATCTACGACAAGCAAATTTTCAGACTATGAGCAGTGACTATTTCGCGACCCTATTCT